TCTGGGGGAAAAAAAACAAAACAAAACATGATTGTAGCTATAGTATGGATGCTGGATTTAACTTGACACTTACAGTGAAGAATAAAATTTATTTTCTGTTTTCACCTTTGGGAAACTTCTGATCAACATTCTTGAACTAGGTGTGATTTAGGTTTCCAAAAACTTACCCTTCTTAATCATAAGCATTTAAAACATTTGTTAGCTTTCACTAACAAAGAGAAGTCCCTGGTTTTAACTTGAAATGGCTTAACATAAAATTTTCGTTAGCTTTTTGTGTGTTTGGATTTTGTGTGTGTTCTGTTTCTAACTTTCAACTTGAGTTTTAAGATCATCAATCAAAGACTTTTCTTTCAAGTCAGTGGCACTGCTCTCCATCGCCAAGACTTACAGGAGCAGCATTTTCCTCATGCTATTAAACAAAATTTAAACACAGAGTATTTTAGGAATTTGAGCTTCACTGATCTTTTTATCATACGCCTACATCTTGAAATGAACAAGTAAATTAGATATAAGAAACTCAGGAAAAGTTCTCCCATCAACTCCCCTCCTCCCTCCCTTTTCAGTCTCCTTTTTGGACAGAGGTAAATTAGGAACTGCAAAATCAGCTTTCAGCAAGCCACAAAGAGGCCAATTGTGGCTTTACATATTTTAAAATGCATTCATTTATTCAAGCTATCTCTTTCCTTTATTTAAATGTTTTCCTGCACACATTTTTTCCCTTTAGACTACTGAGAATGTGCCTCATCTCTCAACATTCTGTAACTCCAGTGAACACTACAATCAGCCTGAGCTTTTATCTTTCAAATGGCATTTATTGTGGGGTGTGTTTGTCTGTGTCTGTCTGTCAGTTGTTTCTCTTTGCCAAATAAAACTAATTTTTGTTTATAGGTTTCAATGAAGCAATAAAAACAAAGCATTTGACATCTGAAATGATGGCTGTTGCAGGGTTTCCAACACATACCTTTCTCTACCCCGCAAGCCCCAAATTCAGGGTGAAGTGATCTAGCTTGCTGTCTTCCTGATAATCTCAGTTAACTTCATTGACTTTGGTTTTCTAAGTTTTGCTTTGAGAACAGATTCACTAATGGATAATAATAATTTAAAACTTGACTAGATTCTATATAGAGTGGCTTGGTGTCAGCAGAGTATAATCTCCAGGTTGGAGTAAATCCCCTTGATAAGCCTTCTGACCAGATGAAAATTTGAATTGGGTGAAGTGAATCCAAAGTAAACTGAGATGCATCTTGAGTGCATTTCTGAATTTCATTAGCAAGTATATCCAGCGTTAGGTGTGTTAATTTCATATCTTGGTTTATGCTCTGAGGCTTGGTATCTCCTTGTGGGTAGAGCTTTATAGATGTTGCGTTTCCACTACATGTGCAATCTGCTGTTTAATATATGCATCAACGAAAGGTTTGTGCAACTGCCTCTCCACCACACTTCCTCCCTGCCCCCTCTGCTCGTATTTCTTCCCACATGAAGTATCATATATTTTGTTAGGAAGAAAAGCCCTTTTGGAAATTGCCTATTTCATAAATTGTCTGGTGACACAAAGGGGTTGAATGCTGTATTCTTGTCTCATTTATTTTGAAAACTTTGCTACTGAACTCACCTTAATCAATGAGCTCAGTGTTGTCTCCAATAAGTTATGTGTTGGATATATTGATTGGGAGGGATTTTAGAAAACCCGTCTGGGGTTTATAATGTCAGCAGTGTTTTGATTATGAAAAGAGTTGGAACCTGGGGACATGGAACCAGGTGGCGAATGTCCTAAAGCCAGTGGTGACATGGTGGACTAGTTCCCTCCTGGGATCTAGTTCATGCCCTGCACTTTAACTGTGGTGACTGGCTACTATAGATTCACTTTTTTTGCTCATTAAAATGTTAAAAAATCAAACTGTACATAAAAAGATTTGTGAAAATATAAACTTGGGAATTGATCCGGAGAGCTGGCACACAGTCCTCCCCACCCCCTGCCTTAGCAATGAGGTCATTTACATTTCATCAGCTGTGCTGCATCTCCAAGATCCGATTTCTGTGGCAGTAGCTGAAGTTATTCTGAGGCTGTTTGTCAGAAAGAGCTTCTGTAGGCAAGAGGGGAAGCAGGGAGAGAACAGGAAAATTACCTTCCATCTACAAAGAAAGTTTCCTGGCCAGGAATGCGAGATCTAGAGAGAGAAAGGGATTGGTAACTGGGCAGTGACTGTTTTCTCCATAATGACTGGAAGACTGGGCATGCTCTGCCATAAACATAAAGCTCAAAATATATTTAAGTCAGGGTTTTCAAGCCCCCTCTCTGGGAGAGTGATTCTTTTCATATTTGCATAATCATGTTTTTCTTTGGAAAACAGAGGGTCAAGTATCTGAATGTTTATATATCAGGAAAACATCAATATTAAGAAAATTGGCTTATTTCAGCCATCTTTGTTTACAAAGAACATTGCTTGCTTTTCCCTCCCTCTTCCTGTCCTCCCCTCCCCAAACTTAGAAGTAGATATTTCAGTCTTGATTGAGATAATGTGTGAATATGCCCAACACAGAATAGATGCTCATTTTTGTTTTCTCTCTGACAGCACACCACCATCTTGTTTGACTTAAATTGGAATATCAAGCTCTTGTAATTTCACAAACATGAAGAAACATATTGTAACGTACAAACATGTGCCTACATTTGCCTATATTCCTTTTCTCCTTCCCCTCCCCCAGCCCCATTGCTTAATTAGATTTATCACTGCGTTCCTGGGTAAGAAGGAAAGCTCGTGGGAGGTGGGTTACACTCAGCCTACATTGGGTATTTTGATATTTGTTCTAATATTATCTGACAGACAAGTTCAAAGTTGGTTATTACTCTTGACATTCGAAAGTGGTAAGTAGTTTCTATATTGTAGTGAGTAATAAGTTGGGCATATTAGATTCCTTTGACTCTGCTGTAGAGCACAATGCTTTCTTATAGCCATGGGGGTCCTTTCTTTCAAAAATCTTTGAGGCCTTTTGCCAGCACAACTCCAGCATAGAGTAGAGAAGTGCTTTCTGCACCTGTAACTTTTGAGGGTAAAGGATAACCGTCTTTGCAGCTGATATTGGCCATGACTGAACACTTGGTACTGAGTTTTAAAGACTACTTGGTACATATACTGAAGTTAAGAGATGCTTTGTGGTATTATTTGAAACTCAAAGTGGAAGAAAATTTATAAGGATTTTGTGTGCGTATGTATAAATTGTAAGAGTTTTGTGTATGTGGATTATGAAATACTTTCTAATGAATTAAAAACTGCAGGTATAAAAATATTTTATATGATCTCTTTTCAATATTTGCTTGATAATAACATGATGCTCTGAGACATTTCTCTTGTTCTGGGTTTCTATTGACTATTGTAATTTATTAGTTTAAAAACAATCTATATGGACTTCTGAATGTCACATTATAAAATTAGCTAATGTATAATACTGTTTAAAACATGCTGTGGTATTCTTATCCATTCCTTTTCATTTTTCTGGTTCTTTATTCATTTACTACTTCACGACATGCCTTAGCAGTGTTGTGATATACCCAGTACCAGTCCAAGATGATATTAAAAATAGGATATGCTCAATTGAATTATGTAGGCGGAACATGCTCTGGCAGAGCAAGTCAATGTGCTTTCTGCTTCATTGAGTGGGTTATTAGATTGATGTGGTTTATTTCTTGAATGATAGAACTGGTTTTAAAAATAAATGAAGCGAGAAGCATCAATTCAGTTAGCATTGATAATTCATTATTATTGGTTAGAAAAGTGCTACATTTGTAAACTGATCTTTAATTTATCACTTGGATTAGGATTTGCAATGGGCAGATTTGTTTTAATTTGAACCAGCTTCTCAATGACTGAAAAATGTGGTCTTCATTTTGTCTCGAAGTCAGGATTTTAAATAGTTAAAAAGCAAGTCAAATGCATGAAAGGGATACTTTTTTAAAATTTATAACATTGGTCTATGAACTTGTGATAAGGACCAACTGTGGGCTGTCCAAGTCTGCTGGTAAATTAAGTTAAGCTAAAGAGAATTCCACGAAGGACATACTAGTAATGGCTCGTGTCTGTGTCTCGTTACGTGCTGTGTGTGTGAAATGTGCCTGTTAGTTAAGAGTCACACACAGCTGTATACGGTGTCTCAGGTACCAGTATTGATCCTCTTCACATAAGGTTGTCTTTTATGAGTGAGTCTTTGAGATGTCACTCTACTTTTTCACCCTCCTGATTAATGTGCTTGATTTTATATACTTACATATTTGTAAAAAAGACATTTTAACTGATAGTTTGCTTTGACTTTTCATAAATTACTGACAGGTAAGTATGTCCAATTCTGATTATGATATTTAACTAAAAATCATACCTACGTAAAATTGTTATAATTTGCTTCTAAAATAAATTGTTGCCAGAAATGGCAACTTTTTTTTTTTTTTTTTTATAAAGTAAGTAAATGAAGTTTTAAACTCTAAAAAAATGTAGTTGACAGTGTTCAGGGACAATTATCTTCAAGTTGGCTTTCTATTCTGCTGCGATTTGGCCTATTGATGTTGGGAAGCGTTGTCTAATCCTGGCCCCCTCTGTTCCTAGGTAACAGGCAAAAACGGTGCCAGCAACAGCGGCCCTGCCAGGCCAAACCCATGTGGCTTGGTGTTATTCACTCTGATCCATATGGTCAGGCTGGAGATGGTCCCTGGAGGGGTGTTAACACTCAGCAACCCAACCGCCTCCCTCCCTTCAGAGCTTTCCTGCATGGCTCCTGCTGCTTGCCCATGTGTGATTCTTGATTAATTTTTCATTTTTAATGAAGTTTGATCATGTTTATTATTCCTCATGATTGACTGCCTGGTAGTCCTCCCATGTAATTGATAAAGCCCATATTTCTTCATCTGTCTCCTCTTTCTTTAGGGTAAAGTTGCTAGATTGTATGCTGTGGTTAATGTTAGATTTATTGGTCCCATTAGATGTATAAATTATCTCTCTTTCTCTCCACAGGAAGTTCTACAGACTTTGACCAAGTTTTGTTTCCCCTTCTATGTGGACAGGTAGTGTCAGATTTTCAAACTTTACTAGAAAAAAGTGTGTCAATAAACCTGCTATAGAAAATAAAAACCATACCATTCTCAACATTCTGTCTGTTTAACCATGATTTAAAACACCTATGTTCCAAGGAGAGTTGCAATATTCTCCTTTCCTGGGGATTTTATAGACACTATCAAAAAGTTTAAAGCTTACAGCTTTGCACTGCTTAGTTTGTGAGATGTATTTTTGTGTGGCGTTAAATTTTTGGTTTTGGTTATCAGACTTGAACCATGATTAAGAATGGTTGGTATTTAATCCAGTGCTATTTAATTTTTATTTAAAAATGAATATATTTGGCTTAAACAAGTAATGTTATGTTACTTCATATGAATATTACATACTTTCTTTTTCCTAGACTTCAACTTTTAATTCAATCCATCATAACCCTATCTCATTTGAAAGTATTCTCCTAATTAAAAAGCACATTTCTTAATAATGTTTTGCATTATGTTTAGGTGGCTAAGAATGGTATCACTGGAGCAATCAGCATTTTCTATAGATTTCTAGATTAAAAAGCACAAAACCATCTGAATGTTTTTTAGTTATTTGCATTGTAATATAATGTGTCTTGGAGTGGTACAAATATAACTCCAAGATAATTAAAGTAGTCTTTTTTTTTCCTTTTCTTTTTAAATGAACTATTGGTTAGTGGTATTTAACTTCTTTCTTATTTTCTTCTTAGTTTATAAAACTGTAATTTACTCACTATATTAATAAAAGGACAAAATATTCATCTTTATTCTTAAGAAATGTCTACTGTGTTTTTCATTATAGTTGAAACATTTTTTACAGTCATTTATTTATGTACTTGATGTCTTTTTTTTATTTTCTCCTAATGGAAAATCAAACTATGAGACCATACATACATTGCATCTTTAAAATTCCACTTTTAGTGACAGGTTGTAGAAAATACTGTTGTAAGTACTAAGTACCATAATCTGAAACAAGCTATAAAATCTGTCCATCTTCAGGAGATGTCTCTCATGTATGTTAGTGTTACTCAAGGCAGGGTGTGAAAAGTTTTAGTGATTTAGAGTAGATGGGGGAGTCATATACTGTTTGGATCTTTTCTGTACTTTGTAGTACTGGTGTCCTGGTTAAATCTAAAAATGGTATGAAGTAAGAATTGGTAGCCAAAGCAGTTTAAAAGAGTACTAAAAAGCAACTCTGGAATGTTGCCAGCCACTTATAATTACTGTACCCCCTGGTTCTAACTTGTTATTTTTTTAAGCCAATCAACCATTGTCGTACTTCCAGACTCAGACTTTTTAAAATCCCAGTACCAGGAATGTCTTAGTAGCAGGCTGATGCTCAAAACAGAATAGACTTAATTTTAAGAGGGTCAGTCTTTGTAATGAGAGTTCTCTTTTCTCTTTTTTATCCTATTCTTTCTAAAAATAGTGAGGAAGTAGGGTTTTGTTTAGAGATGTTTAATGCAAACTTCACATTTATGTGTATGAATTAGTGATGCATGAAATCTCCTCCAGTAACTTATAACATGTACTACAAAGTATGGCAAGGGTTTATTTATATAGAGTAATAAAGCTGAAATGTGTTTAAAATATAGTTAGGTGTTTAACAAAGAAAAGTAAAAGTGTAAATTTTTACGTGACTTATTGTTAAAATGGTGATGTTTCAGATAGGTGTTTCTTAATTGACTGTTTAAACTAATATTAGAAGAGATGCACAATGAGATTAAATATCTGCCCCTTGTCCCCGCCCTGCACACACACTTACATTCATATATACAGTTGCACTATCACACTTGCACACGCACGCTTTTCTCTTTCTCCCATTTATACCATACACATGCCTCTACTTACTCACCTGTATGGATGACTACATTCTGAAATGGGAGAAAAGCAGAGTCCTTAAGTGATAGTTCTGAAATCTTTTTGGTCACCAATGTCTGACGTCTTTATGTTGTTAGAAAAATATTTTTTCTTCTGAAATGTTTCTGTCCATATTACTCTCTCCTGATTATGTTCCTCATATCTTTTTTCCCCCACAAAATGATTTGAGGACAGAAATATTCCTTTGTGTATGTATTTTAATTCCCACCATGTACAGTGGTTCTTCTTATCTTGTAGTATATTACATGTCCTGGGGGTTGATAAGTTTTACTGATATAAAAAAAAGAACCCACATTATTGTGGAGACTATATTTTTTCTCTTCTGTTTTCCCACTTCTCATCTTGGCATACTTTAATGCAGAAAAGATATTACTAGTGAAGTTCATTTACAATAAATACAAATGTTTCAATGTTGCAACTTTATTAGTTTGCAGTTAGTGCTGTCAAATGGATATGCCCAGACTCTGAGGCCCACTGAGCCCCCAGGTGTGTTTATGATATTGTTTGACTTAGAAAACAGGCCAGGATGGGGGATGAGTAATGCCCCAGGTGACGGAGTTTGAAAAAGGAAGCTTCCTAATCTTTTTTAATATCTGCACTTTTCTACCCCAAGGACGAGTGATACAACTTTCTGACATTTTAGTCTATACCAGGAGTAGGATTTTCACAGTCATCATCAAATCACCTGTTAACATTGACATCTTGCTGTCTCTGGTGTTGTTTTAGGATTTTTCTTCCTGAAAGTAAGACTTATGAAAAATAACAATGCTAGGAGCTCTTCACAAGAAAGGGCTCTCTCATGTGTTATCTCATTTTATTCTCTTGTGGTGAAAAAGAACAAGTGGACTATGTTCATTTGAAAGTCTAAGCTGCAGAGAAATTGTGACTTGCCCAAGGTCTTGTTAGACTATTGGCACAACCAATATTTCTATCCCCTGAATACATTTTTTAGTAGGCCACCTTGTGGGGATCACCAGCCACCAAATATATAAAGACTGAGGAGAAGAAGGAAGTCAGTATTTAAGTTCCTAATTGGCTCCAGTCTAAGCTCTGGGCCCTGTCACGTTACCACCTCATTTACTTTCCCCAACAACTTAGGAGATAGAGGAATGCAGTATCTTTTTCACAAAGAGCTAAGGAAGATTCAAGACCTATAGCTTTCTGTTGGATGATGGGGAAGACATGGAAATGTCTCAGATTTGGAGCCCTGCCCTCCGCATGTTTCCCACTCTAGTCCAGGAAGTACTGCATTCAATCTATTCAAAAGGACAGTGAGGTGAGAGAAGAACGAAATGGTCAGAGAAAACTTCCTATGGGGGGTGAGCCGTGTTGAGTCTGCCAGGATGGCAAGAAGTGGATAAGTGGAAGTGAGAGCGTCACACTCCATCTGCACTGAAGAGCAAAGCAGAGGAGAAAGCCTGAGTGAGCCCAGGGACTGTTCAGCCAGAGCAGATGGAGCCTGCTGGGGAGAGGGTGACGTGTACCGTGGTAGCTTGGGCTCCGGCCGCAGGAGGCCTTGAAAACGTGTGGGAACAAGTTCGTAGGATTTTTTTTTTTTGGAGAGATTTTCACTGTAGGGCACGTGCGCTCGCCAGACAGACAGAGAGAGACATAGAGACAGAAAGTGAGAAATCATCCCCCAGGGGGGAAGGTCAGGCCGCAATCCCTTCTCCTCCATTCTCCTCTCGGGATCTTGGGCACGCACGCACACGCACCCGGCGTGAGTTTTAAGCCACCGGGTCCAGGACACGAACCACGGTCGACTACGTGGGAGTCCAGCGACATAGCCATTATGCTAACTGCTGGTTCCCAAGTTCGTAGGATTTTTAAAGCTGAAATTCTTCGTGTTAAAGCATCCCATTCTACAGAAGGGAAATCAAGGTGTGCAGAGGCAAAGTGACTTGCTTATGGTCTTCACTATGTAATTACATCCTTGGGAAAGGAACAGATACTCCTGTTCCCGGGACAGAGATGGGAAGAATGAATTAAAAAACAAAAACACAAACAAACAAACAAAAACCTTGATCTAATAATATGCCGTCTCCAAGAGACTCACTTTAGACCCAAAGACACAAATATGTTGAAAATCAAAGAATGAAATAAAGTATTCCAGTCTAGAGTTATTTTCCCCCTGCATTGTACTGGAAGCTCTTGGTGGAGGGCAGAGTAGGGACTTGCTTAGTTCCTTGTATCACTTTCATAAAACTTTCATTATTTATGAAATTAGTCTCTTACCAAAAGAAAAAAAAGTGTACTGTTACACATTGTGGTTGTTACTTGCTTGCCCCTGATAGCTGACAACCGGTTTCAGATAGTCAGAGCACTCCAGAAATGCAGCGGGTGATGGAGAAGCTCTGCTTGCCGTGTTTGTGCTTACCCCCTTCAGAACCCAGAAAGTCAGCTCTGTTGTACTGGTACACACAAATGACAGGAGCGTGAAGTGAAGTGACATAACCTAGCCAGGGACAGAGGCAAGGTTTACTGTTGAGAATGTAGCCACAGATGCATTGCGGCTCACATGCTACTTACCATTTTATTATGTACCTGTTATCTGGCAGATACCACATGTACTGTCTTCTCTTCTTGCCCTCAGAGGTCACACATTTGCAAGGTTGCCACTCTCGTCATGTTGTACACTAGGAAACAGAGGTTCAAATAACTCGCTCAGGGCCCACGCCTCCCAAGCGGTAGAGCTGCTTTTGGAAGCCTCAGTGATCTGACCTCTACTTCCACCATACTTTATCTGCTAGAGCATACTGCCTCCATTAGCTCATCCATCACAGCCTAGAGAAAATAACCAAACAAGCACTTTCTGCTTATTTTGAAAGCAATATATACTAACTGTAGAGAGGTAGAAAATTCAGATAACTGAAAAAAAAAAAAAAAAAAAAAAAAAAAGAAAAACAACCGAAAAAAAACAATTAGGGGCAAAAA